GTTCGGTTTCGTCAGTCTCGTTCTCACCGGATGGTACTCGCATCGCATCTGGTTCTTAAGGATAAGACTGTGCGGCTGTGGGATGCAATCACGGGACAGCCATTGGGTGAGCCCTTGGAGGGGCACACTGGTTGGTTTACTCAGTCTCGTTCTCACCGGATGGTACTCGCATCGCGTCTGGTTCGGAGGATAACACTGTGCGGCTGTGGGATGCAATCACGGGACAGCCATTGGGTGAGCCCTTGGAGGGGCACACTAGTTCGGTTTACTCAGTCTCGTTCTCACCGGATGGTACTCGCATCGCGTCTGGTTCTTGGATAACACTGTGCGGCTGTGGGATGCAATCACGGGACAGCCATTGGGTGAGCCCTTGGAGGGGCACACTGATGAGGTTCGATCAGTTGCATTCTCACCGAATGGTACTCGCATCGCGTCTGGTTCGGAGGATAACACTGTGCGGCTGTGGGATGCAATCACGGGACAGCCATTGGGTGAGCCCTTGGAGGGGCACACTAGTTGGGTTTGCTCAGTCTCGTTCTCACCGGATGGTACTCGCATCGCATCTGGTTCAAAGGATAACACTGTGCGGCTGTGGGATGCAATCACGGGATAGCCATTGGGTGAGCCCTTGGAGGGGCACACTAGAGAGGTTTGGTCAGTCTCGTTCTCACCGGATGGTACTCGCATCGCGTCTGGTTCGGACGATAAGACTGTGCGGCTGTGGGATGCAATCACGGGACAGCAATTGGGTGAGCCCTTGGAGGGGCACACTAGTTGGGTTTGGTCAGTCTCGTTCTCACCGGATGGTACTCGCATCGCGTCTGGTTCTTGGGATATGACTGTGCGGCTGTGGGATGCAACCACGGGACAGCCATTGGGTGAGCCCTTGGAGGGGCACACTAGTTGGGTTTCGTCAGTCTCGTTCTCACCTGGATGGTACTCGCATCGCGTCTGGTTCGGCGGATAAGACTGTGCGGCTGTGGGATGCAATCACGGGACAGCCATTGGGTGAGCCCTTGGAGGGGCACACTAGTTTGGTTTACTCAGTCTCGTTCTCACCGGATGGTACTCGCATCGCGTCTGGTTCGCACGATAAGACTGTGCGGCTGTGGGATGCAGTGAAAGTACAGCTATCCTCCATGTCCAGCGAGCCAGATTCTTCCTCATTTTCACTCCATCGAAGCACTACACCTCCCACCCAACAAAGCCGTACCATGCCAACCAGCACTTGTAACAATCACGTCATTTCCTTCTCGTCCAGCCAAGAACACGCCCTGCCCAATCCCGCTGACTTGCTGGAACCCACTTCTCATCATAATTCTAATTCAACACCTTTCTTGCTGCAGGCTGATGGATGGATCATGGGACCCAATCATCAGCTCCTTTTCTGGGTGCCTCCCGCTTCCCGACGTCCATTTTATACTCCTTGGACTTCATTGGTGATTCCCAGAGGACATCCCGAACTTGATTTGAGCCGCATGGCACATGGGACACACTGGTCGAGTTGCCGAGATGCGTTAGTTCTTTGTGTTTATCATCCGTCCTTGCAGTTACTAACATTAGGACTTCTAGCTCCATGTAACGATGATTTTATTGCCGCAACATCGGGTGTACCATTTGATTCTTTGATTCCTTGTTCATTTCTATACCTAGCACCGAGCCTGAATTTACGGTTGTCTGACTGACTGATGTACTGTACTTAGAGGTGTACTAGTTAAGACTTGCCACCTACTCTGGTCTAGGTACGTTCGCAGTAGCGTTTTCGAGCCATTTTCGTCGTCTTCTGTTTTGTACTTGCCAGTATTTCCACATGCGCACAGATTAAGTGGCGAACTCCGTGTCTTGGCAAGCAGATTGCTTGAGCAATTCTTGCATGTCAAAGTCATGGCCGCCATTCCCTGATGACTCCAAATAATCTGGTTGCACCATTATTGCTTGCCTTCGGCGCAGTACAGTTTCATCGACAACGTCATTTTTGACCAAAGACATTTACTACAATCTGGATTTGAAACAGGATTCCAACTATCGTGCGTGGAACAACAAGGCTACCTTCTACTCGATCGCCCCATCCTGAGCATCCCATGTGGTCTCTGCAGTGAATCAACATCAATATATGTCTTGGTTGACGCACACAGTCTCATGACACAGGTATTTGAAGAGAATGGTGCTCCCGGACCTAGTAAATTTGAACAAGGTCGAAAACCTCTGCACCAAGCGAACGCTCTCGCAAGCGGAAATTGACCACCGGCTTCAGATGGTGCGCAAAGCTGCGCGGAAGGGATAGGTTGTATTTCTTGCTGCACCCAGACAAACTAAGTTGTGGAGAATGCTGACACCCCCTCCTCTACCTAAGCCCTTGCCTGCTTCTACACTCTCGAAGTCGGAATTACTAGGATAGCCTCGGGTCACGACAGCCGATGTAGGTGTTGGGGAAGATTGGAGTCATTGAACAAGCGAAGGGAACGCGCGAAGAAGGAAAAAGGTTGAGTGCGATTTGAAGTAGATGTGAACGCTGCTGGCCGCGGAGAGGGAAGCTGCATGAGAAGCATTGCAGCTCAGTGCTCCCACTTCATCGTCTATGACATGCCGCAGAGCGATTCACTGGTATTGTCTTCGCACTTTGCATTGATGACATTATGTTCTGTCTGATTTATTTCGGATCGGTGCAAGGGTTTTTTCAATACGACCTCTGAACAGATGCAGTGGTGCATTTGTTGCCTCATATATTACTCACTAGACGTCTGCTCCAACTTGCACATTCAGAATTTTAGCCCCTCCACGACTGCTGTTAAAATAAAGTTCGAACCACTTGAAAGATCACTATGTATAATTACATGGCCTATGGTCTCAGCATCATCTTCTACTTGGTCTGGCTAAGAAGACCGATACTAAGCGGGCGCACCGTGAGTTATACAAGTCCCCTACCACTCATCCTAACAGTATCTAAAACCACCCTCACCAACTCGTTCCACGACTGTCTCGTCACCGAATTGCCATGGGCTTCCAATAACCTCCTCCGTACCAAGTCCCGCCGCCGCCTCCGAAGGATCAGATATGTAAGGGGAATTAGGAAGAACACAACTGATGGTGGCTAATCTGTTTGTGGTGAAATAGTGGTTGAAATAAGATCAGATGGGTATTAGGGGGGTCGTGCAGTTGCGAGACTATGGCCGACTGGCGGGACGCGGGAGATAGGAACGCCACCGGCACTTGAGTTTCCTCGGGGCATGCTTCGGTTGTGGTGGTGGCAAGGGAATCTGGTTATGGTGGAGTCTGAAGCTGCTGATGTAGAGGACGCGGATTGTTGACGGGTAAGTTTTGGACGGGGGGGTGCTGGGACGGTGGTACGAGTAGATGTTGTGGATAGAAAGGATGGGGAAGAGGCTGGTGATAGAGAGCGGGGTGAAGGTATTGGTGGAGTCTCGAGTTTTGGCGTCTCCCGCATTGTACTCTCTAACGCATGAGCATGCTGAGCCTCGAGGGCCAAAAGAAGTTCCTGGTAATATTGAGTTCAGTACGACACAAGGATCATGAACTCACGCGTTTTTTGTCAGACGAGAGTTCATTGTCATAGGACAGAAATTCTTGACGCACTCCCACTCGCACAAACGAGGTAAGATGTGCAAAGAGTAGAGTTCTAGGACATTGTGATATGGCTCACCGTGGAAGGTACAAAGTCATATTGACCGTGTTTTGATACTTATCTCATGACCAACATTCAAGGTATCTGGATGCCGTATGTGACGAGTGTGATGAGGACTTGGTGCGGAAGGAATACGGAGCTAGGTTTTCGATACAGAGACGAAGGAGTAAATAAAATGAGAGATCGAGTTGGGAGTCCGGAAACGAACCTTGGCAGAAAAAGGAAATCAGTTCAGAGGTTATATGACGCATAGCTTGCTGCTGTTACTGTCATGTATAATTTTATTCGTTCTAGGTGCACCGACCTTGGCTCCGTCTGCTTCGGGTGGTAATGTTAGCGCTACGGTAGCTGGTAAGGTCACAATCTCAATTATTCATCAACTGCTGCAATCTTCTGCTTCCGCCAGTACCTCAGGCGCGTCCACAACCGGTGTTATCGCTGTTCCGCTCTCTAGCTGTTCATTCACTCCCTATCCTACGCCTACTCTCAGCCCTCTCCCCCCAGTTTACCCTGCAACTGATCCTCTTACAATAGCATTGATCCACAAATCGTGCCCGATTTTGCGCCTGTGTGGGCTGCTACCTACCAAAAAGCCAAGAACCTTGTAAGTGCATACATTTTAATCATCGATTCTGTTGATTGTCTTTGCTGACCAAGAGGATTTGATCGCTGCTTGGGAGAACGGGAAGGCTTCACCCATCGCTGAAGGGTCTTCTACTGCGCTTTGGCGAGGTTCATTAAGACTAATGAAGGATCTGCGGGCTGATATCGTTACTTACCAGTCTCCAAGAGCCTGCGTTCCAGGCAACTTTCAAGGTCACGAATACTGGACCTGTATCTGGAATGGAGGTTCGTGACACCACTTAGCTTCATTATCTCGATACTTATGCCCAAGTCACGCGAATAGATTCCTCGGTACATTCACTTCCCGTCTTCCGCTAGCAAGCCTCCATCAGTCCTAAAGGGCTTCACAAACGTCGAAATCTCGCCGTCAAGCACAGAACAAGCCTCGATCACGCTCTCGCGCTATGACCTGTCTATTTGGGACGTCGTCGCTCAGGGGTGGTGCGAGCCTGATGGCCAGATCTCGTTCTCTATCGGTGCGAGCAGTAGGGACTTTAGGCCACAGGGGAATATTCCTACTTGATCGTGCTTTTTGTTCGACACTTGTTGAATCGATTCAGTGCGTGTACTTAGTGGGTTTTTATCGTATTTTGGCGTAACGCTAGTAATGCATCATGGGTCAAACATAGTGTTGGCAGTAGGATGTCCTCAATACGCAGCGTGCATCAAAATACTCTACAAGTAGCATTGCGTTCACGATGTGCACACGAACGGTGTGACAAGTCCATTGCGCCTATGCAGCAATGTCCTTTCTCTTCTTTTTCGACCTTGCCGTCCCATCCTTGGCATCCATTTCTGTGTGCCGTCGCTTTCGTTTTTCTTCAACTGTAGGGGCCGCCTCTTCTGTGGGAGCGACGCATACTTCTGCCCGTTCTGCTCGTCGTTTGAGGGCTGCTTCGGCTTGCTGTAGATAAAATGAGATTTTTTGCGGACTGCACAGTAAACACGTACCTTTTGTTTTCTTTGTTGAACTTCCCAGGCCTCCCGTTCATGGGGCTTGAGGAAATACTCTCCCGACTCGAGCTAAAGGTCAACCTAGACATAACCAAACATCAGCACTACTTGACAACCAGCAGCAGAGTGAATTACCTTCCGTGGTTGCTGTGGCGGGGGAAAGGGCGTGTACACTTTCTTCGCTGGTTTCTCCTTTTTGTCGAAACTCGATGCATCAAGGCCTGAAGCCTTGCGCGCTTCTTCCTTAGCAGCGACTTTCTCAGTTCTTCTTCATCGTCTTTTCGGAGGTCTTCAGATGTTCCTGAACGTGGGGAGGAACCAGTCCCAGGACTTTGTTGCTAATTTGGGATCTTTTGCGAGTTCCCTTCTTATCATGAGTTCCTGCGAACGTTTCAATAAAGCTGCAGAAAGAACAAATGTTAGTTGACACACCTTGATGCGGTAGATGGAATGAATGTTTTTCATGCAATCAAGGACTATTCGTGGGACTTATTTTAGTGACTTGTGCGGACCCATCACGACGGTATTCCCTTGTACGAGAATATAGCACTGAGTCAATAGCTCAATAGCCTGAAAAAAGTCAACGACATGCGCACAGTCAAAAATATGCAACGCTCACCTTCAGTGTGCTACCATCCGGTCCAATAATCCGCTGTCTCCGCTTCACAAACCGGTCCTTATTACGCACCAGATTCCCAATTTTGATGATATCGCAAGCCACGTCGTCCTGTAATACCTTCTGAGCCTGCGTGATCGCAACCCCTCTTGCGAGTAGTTTGATGAGGTCTCTTGCTTTGAGGATGATGTATGGATCGAATGTTTTATGTGTTGTCCGGACGGACATGGATCCGTGAACTAGGTCCAGTGTGCATGCGATGCCCTGGGTGCTGAGTTGATGGTGTACATCGTATGGCGGAATGGATGTGAGCACTCACATGGGCGTCTAGAACTTTGGTTACGGCGCTCCAAACCTCCCTCAAGTACTTTTCTCTGTATTTTGGGAAAAGGGTTGCAAAAGAAGATTTTTCGGTGAATACGCCGCCTTTGTTGTCATCTGCTTGGAATGAATCGATTTTCCACTGGAGTAGAGTTGAGTACGTGTTAAAGCATGTGTGATTTGGGTGCTCACACTGGAGAGGAGGTACGGTGAGAAGTGGTTTTAATTGACGTGCGGGCAATATTAATGCTCACTGGTCGATGTCATCGGTGTCCCATGCTGAAATGTAAAGTTGCCTTCACAGATTGATAAGGAAGGTTTGGAAGCTCACATTTTTCTTTGCGATGCCTCTTGTTTCTGGTTGCTCCTCTGAAGCAGCTGCCATCGTTGCGAATAGGATTGCTTCTTGAAGCTGTCGCGGTAAGTAGGTCTGGGCACCATCGGCCTAAAATTGCCTGATTTGGTAACAGGTGCGGTGTATCTTAATACCACGTTTTTAAGTTATTCAAGAGGCAAGAATGATTCTAGCCTCCTTTATGTGAGATCTAGGTTTATGGTAGAATACTGAACTCATGATATGAAACGGTTGCCTACAACGATTACCCTCAGAACCAAAGGAAAACAACGCTCGTTGGGACTCAACCCGGAGTTCTTCGATCAACCGTCACATCCGACAGGTCGCCCTGTAAGACGTCCCAGGCTAAGTATATGCTGAAATTGATTTATTAGATACGACTTGGACCCGGACCCTTAGCAAGCTCTGTTCATCAGCAAGCCTTCCAAGGACCACCAGCCGGGAACGGCATATCCTACCTCTTCTGAAAACATGGAGACTGATTCGTCATCTCGATCTCCCGGGGCGAATTGTCCACTGTAAGGGAAGCTCAGCAGATCCTCAAGATCTGCCAGTCGGGAACGGCGTATTCCACCTGTTGGCAACGTTTTGGTGCACATTCGGCACCCTCAAGTCCCACAGGGCAACGTCGACTCGACGTGTTGTCGAGGTAGCGACCACACAAGCCAAAAGGGTATGTTCAGCATATCGGGCCTTACTTTTCAGTGACGTATTTCAGGAAATTCCCAGAGGACTGTAGTTTCACGTCCACGTTGGACAATGATGGCTCAGTCCTCTAGTGGTGCCAGCCCTATTTACAGTCAGTGTCGACTCAGGAAGGCTTGGCTCAGGCGTCTATTGACGTTAGGCATAATCACCTGCGAAGCCACAGCTCGGAACAACTCGGCACTGTCATCTAGGCAAGCTGGACGACCAGGATATGCACACGGCCACATCGAGAGAGGACCAGGAGAGCGTTGATCTATACGGAGCGGGATACCGAGAGCGTCAAAGCGCATGGATGCTGAAACATTTTCTGGAATTGGTTGTGCTAGAAAGGCCGCGGCGAGTTTCATCACATCTGGAGTGGACGTAGTCAATTCATGTATTGCATCAGCATTCTGATATTGCTCGTCTCCTGCTTGGCCATGTTCTGTGCACAGCTTGCTCTGTGTCAATATGTAATGTAATCCTGTTCTCCTGCAGCTCTC